TATATATATATATATATATATATATATATATATATATATATATAAAGTATCAAATGTAATAAATATGATACTAAATTGCAATTAATATGTTACTTCATTCTTTATTTGAAAATTTTATTTTAAAAAATACTTATTATTTACATTTTAATATTTTATTTTTTTAATCAAGCCGTGTAATACACGGGTTTTACACCTACTATCTAATAATATATAATCTATTGCCTATTGGTTTATATCAAACGAAACAAGTGTTGCATTGCCGTGAGCATATATTAATGGCGTTTGACTTTCTTTAATAAACCGCATAGGGTTATGGTTGATTATGGTATGGGGTGTCACATTATGTGATCTTAACAAAGTCAATATTAACGTTCAACATTTCCATATGTCTAGCCTTTTTAGAGTTTATCTTTTATACTAATTAGATCGCCACTTTATAGTTTTCTTATCAACAATATATAAAAAAAGTACTTTCTTATCAACAATATATCAAAAAAGTACAATATTCATTAAAAAAAATCCAACAAAACTTTTAGTATTATTAAAATTATTTATACTATGTTATAGAATCTTAATCTTTGTTTCGGTTTTTTAATGTCAAATCGCCTCAAAGTTGAAATTGTAGAATTCGAATTTGGATGAACTTTATTTTAGAATGTTCCAAACAAATGATCACTATTATACCTTCTTGATGGTGATTTTATGTGTTTCAGTTTCAGTAAAGAAAATGTTATTTATAACTAGAATCAAGAATACATATTACAAAGATTCATGGGTTTGAAGGTGGATTCCACTACCGTTTATAACCACATATGGTAGAAGTATCGAGTCCTCACTTTGGATAAGATAACACTGTGAATGCCAATCCGAACATGGAACCAACCACATAAAGGTTAAAGGTTCAAGATATGTACACTTCTTGCACCCAAGTTGATTATAAATGACACTTAAGGTTATATTATAGTAAAATTAATAATATTCAAATAATATATTTACTTTAATAATCATTTTTTTTTTGTTGCATTGTTTTGATAAAAGAAAAAAAAAACTATCTTCGACCTTAAATTTTGAGAAATCTAAAATCCCAAACATTACAATATCGTTTATTAATCAAGTTTAGGTACACACAAAACACATTTTTTAAGTCATTATCATTCATCACAATTCACATACATTTTGTAATAAATGAGGGAAGACAAAGGGGGCAAAAAGAAAAAAGGTGTCCAAAGCGAAACGAACATACACATGCCCCATTTAACCCAAGGAAGGCCCCAAACCCAAATCCAATTTCATCACTTCGCTTCGTATAAAATACTGTAGAGGAGAAGACATTGCCGATTGCCAATTGCCAACAACATCTTCACATCTACAAAAATTTACAAAACCCTTGATCGATCCTTCATTACAACCGTTGCATCTTCTGCCATTCTACATTCAATTCGGATGGAATCGGCATAAATACCTCAATATCTCTCTTGTTTTGGGTGGAAAATTTTTGTGGGTTTTCTGTGATTTTTGACGATTGGGATCTTACCTGAGATGTGGAGATCTCGGCGGAAATTTAGCCGTGATAATGATAGCATTGATGGTTCAATCCGTAGATCGTCTTCAAATCTCAACTTCATTCATCGATCCTTCAAAGACGTTGAGAAGCTGTTCGCTGATGATGGTAGTAATGGTTTCAACAAAACCCTAGATCAATGCTCAACCACCGCCAATGCCACCGCCACAGCCAGAAGACTCTCGATCTTCCACCGAGTTCACCTTGCAACTAAATTTGCGCGCGCTTTCTCCACTAGACAGATCACGAATCCGGAGAAATCTCCACCGGAATCAAATACTGCGCCGGCGGAGGTAAAATTGGGAAAATCTGACCGCGTGATTTCCATTCCGGGAGCGGAAAAGCGAGTGGTGGTATACATGACGAGCCTCCGTGTGGTCCGGCCGACGTTCGAGGCTTGCCGCACCGTTCAATCGATCTTACGAGGGTTCCGTGTCTCGATTGACGAGCGTGATTTGTCGATGGACTCCCGGTTCCTCGACGAGTTACAAAACATCATGGCGGAAGGCGGTGAGGACGAGTTTGAAAAGACCAAACTAACCCTACCTAGGGTTTTCATCGGCGGTAGGTATGTCGGAGGTGCAGAGGAGGTGAGGCAGCTGCACGAGACCGGCGAGCTAAAGAAGTTCGTGGAGGGTTTGCCGGCGGTTACTCCCGGCGTATGCGAGTTTTGCGGCGACTTCAGATTTATCCTCTGCGACGAGTGCAGCGGAAGCCACAAGTGCTACACTGATAAAGGTGGCTTTAGGAGTTGTACTTTGTGCAATGAGAATGGTTTGATCAGGTGCACATCTTGTTTGGGCCGTTAGATCATGAATGATCCATTTACTATATTATTAGATCATATCAACATAGATTAGTTAGTGAGAGGGTTTATTTTATTAATGACCAGTAGAGAGACCTAATTGAAAAAGTTAGTGGGATTTATTATAGTTTGTTACTTTGTTTCACAATTTTGTATTTTTCTAAATATATTTTTAGGGTTTCTGTTTTAGAGTTTACCAACGATCGTTGTATAAATGTTTACCGGTAATAATCGTATCTTTTGCTAAACAATTTGCTTATATTTTATTTGTAGATTCATCACAAACTCATAACTTGTTACAAAAATACGTATTAAAAATCATGAACTTATACTGAAGCTGTTAAAAAAAAACAATTCATGAATTTATTTAATTTTGAGACAAATTTCTATTATATCCATTACCACATGTATTAGCATTTTAATAAAAGTAAAAAATAAAAACCCTTTCATTACAAGCATAAAAAGGATATCAAGAGCGTTAGGTCTACAAATATAACACATTTTTATACAATCTTGATTGAGGTAAAATAATTCAAAGGAGACAATGTCATCTATAAGGTGTTGTTTGTTTTTTCTAAGACAAAATGTCTGCAGTCTGCGGACCACATCTGTAGACCTCTGCAGTAGAAGAGGTGGACCAAACGTCTGTAGTCTGAAAAAAGAAGACTCTTTGTTTTTTTTTTTAACATCTGCGGGCTACTAAAATAAACTGAAATCTAAATAAACTGATTTTTTTTAAACTTCAAAGTGATTTTTTAATATTTTTATGACTTTGTTATAAATAATTAACGAATCTAGATCAAATTTTATGTATTAATGTATAAAAAATAAAAATAAAAATGGTATGAATTAACGTATATATTTGATAAAAATCAACAACTTTGGTTACAAAGTTATAATTAAACATTATAATTAGTGAGAATTTGATACATAAATGGATGGAAATAAACTTCGATTTTTTCTATTAAATCTATTAAAAACGTACTATAAATATTTTCTCGAGAAATTGACGATACTGTATTAAATAATGTTTTACAAAATTT